GTGTTTTTTTTTTATTAATGTTAAATCAAGCGTGTGAGGATGAGCTAGAGGAAGGAGATGGATTCACGTGACATCACCCCGAAAGAAGACAGATGGGAGAAGAAGCTGGTCCTGGTTGGGCTGTCAATTATCAATCCGGTTTGCAGTTGGGAAAGTAATCTTTTTCTAAATGGTGTAAATTATAAGCAGTCTAAATTTTGTAGTAATTAAGAAATTCAGAGAACAATTTTAGAATTTCCAACACAAGCAACTTGCATTTGAAGGAATAAGCAACAAAATAGAGGAAGGGAAGATTAGTTAAAAATTAAAATCAATTTGGGACTAACTTGTCTTCGAGAAATTTTGGAATTTTATTCATAATTCAGCCAAAAAAGCCACTAGCCATAAATGGCCAATACAAACTAGCCACAAAGGGCCATTACAATAACAGTTTGATTTAACATCAAAATTAAGACAATGTAGGGCTCCTCCACTAACGATCACGCATGATCGAAGAAACTATACGATAGGCATCCCAACTGGGAGAGCAAACTCAGAATAATAAAAACTAAATAAAACTTGGAAAAACTAAGTCATAACAATTCAAATAAAACTCTCACAAAGGAGAGGTGAAAACTCTCCCAATTTATTTATAATTAATGATACAATCCCACAATTTGGGTCATCACCAGTGAATTCTTGCTAGTATTTGAGGCCATATAAAAACTTCACGGTACTATATAAAGTCAGTGGATGCTCGTACTTGATTGGATATTCATGAGCTTTTACAAGAAAAGAAAAATCAAGGAAATAATTTTAGTACCCTTCTATTGAGGGATCCTTAAAATAATTTTATTTGAGGGATACGCTTTAGGATACCCTACGAATTTTTTTCTAACGATCAAAACCATCTATTTTTTTATCTTCATTCGTAGATAATCCTTACAAAAAAATTAGACAAATCGGAAACCATTTAGACATCTAATTGTATCATTCAAAATCAATGAACATGGTGCTTCAAGAAAATACTAAAATTTTAATAATTTAATTGAGTGGTCAAATGATATCGGATTCAAGTAATTTTTAGTGAAAATGATAAGGAATGATAAAATATTAATTTTGGAGGATTACTCTTACTCTCACATAAATTATATATTGTTGTAGTACATGTATAAACAACATTGATATTCAAAATCTATGTTCTTCTTCTTCTTTTCTTTTTTTCCAAAATGAAGTAAAAGCACAATGAATGAAGAAGGTAGGATGTACTTCTTACTTCAATTCCTGGCATTAGAGGATAATGTCTTTGTATTTACGTGAGAGGACTTAAACGGAGCATATGGGGCATGTTTAGGACTGTTTCTAAAAGGAGGTAAGGATTTATAATAATAAAAAGAGCTTTTTGCAGTGTTTGCCCGGAAAGTGTTTATGGATCATAAAACACTTTTTATAACATGTTTACTTATTAGTAATGGGTATCAGAATTATTCCACTACAAAAAAAAAAAAGGTAAGCCACCCAAAAAGGGCATTTTTGGTGACTAAGCATTAGTCACCAAATGTCACCAAATAATGGTGATTGTTGTCACTTTTTTTTTTTTTTTGGTAGTGTTCCAATTCATTATTCTCATGTGTTTACTAATATATGGGTGTCAGAATGATTTCAATTAATTCCTTATTTCTCTTGCGTTTACTTAACACATGTGAAATTAAAATTTTTAGGAGTTCTATGGTTAAATCCGTAATCAAATACCCTCAAAATTAAGAATCAACTAGAAGAACTAGTTGATTTGATTCCAATACCTTATTACCAAATTCTAAAGTTTCCCAATTAAATACTTGAAGAAACACTTTCAAAAGTATATTGATAAAATGATACCTGTGGTGCTATATGTGCATGCTACAATATATACACTATTACATTTATTCTTATTGTAATTTTTTTTAATTGTGAAAGCATAAGTAATAGGAAAATATTCTCTAACTAGACGATTCAAGTTGTGATATCAAACCATCCTTCTAAATATATAATTATAAGTAATTAATCTAGATAGTCAATTTGATCAGTATAATATGTCAAACTGCTTGAATTTCATTTTTGGAAATAAAAATTTAATTACCTATATTGAAAAAGAATAAGAAAAATTAGGAAGCTGTGTCATTAGCTTTTGGGCCTCTGGGGCACAAGTGTACTTATCACCTTTAGCATGAAGTGATTAATCAGATGCATGGGAAAGCATTGGGAACAGAACTCCCAGGTTAAAGGAAACAAAGATATTGGATTTGGTATTTGGTATTTAAATAATAAGGATTTGGTCAGTGAAAGAAAGAAAGAAAAAAAAAAACTATTAGCCGATCGAAAATACACACGTTTTTGGATGGCAACATCAGACGAAAAGCATCCTCACATGCCAAATTCAAAGCGCATGCTTTGCTAAGTTGCTATTTGCAGCAGCAACAACATGCAAACATCTTCAAAATGACCCTAAGACATCTCTCTCCATCAAACAGTTTTATTTTATGTCATTGAATACATGCCTAAACAAGGACACCGCATACGACAACCATCAAATATTCTATTCTATGGGGTCGTTCGTTTCTTGAACCTGCAAATTTAAAAATAAAAAAATTGCTCGACAAATTCTTTTAGGTGAGGGAAAAGGAAGAAAGAGTGAATGGAGTTTGCATGGTGTATTGATCTAGGGTATGAATGGACGTTTTTAGAAACAGTAACTTCAGTATCTTGTAGATTAACAGTTTAACAACATAACATATACGAGACACGAAAAGGATAAAGCAGAAAGAGTGAATGGAATTTGCCATCTTGACATTGCCAATCCCACGAAGCAGTTAAGTGTGATTTTCAGACCCAAATTACCCAACTTCCCTTGAGCCCAACCTTTGGCACGTGCCAGCCACCCTTTGCGTGTACGCTTTCGCTATTTAATAAATCGTTCTTCCTCTTGGGCTTCTTGTGTCCCATCTATCTCTTCGCCTATCTTACTATGGTTGGATTAATATGCATTGGGCTATCTCCCAAATGACCAAAATGCTCCTACCAACTCAACCTTTTTTGCCTACGCAACATAATGATTGGCATGGGTATCATGGTCATTTGGACATATCAGAGGATGGTGGTAGTTTGGATCATTGAGATGACTTTGTACTCACCTTATCTTTATTTTATTCCGCAGTTTGCGTTGGTTTCCAAAAGAACTCCCCATCAAATGACCATAGTAGCCGACGTTCAAAAAGGGCATTTTGGTAAATTCACTAACACTCAAGTCAAGACTAACCGGGACAACTACACTTTAAAATGCACCTTCACTTCACACGCATGCCATACACGCATGACTTTATCCTTCTTAATGGACGAAAATACCCTCAATCTTTGCACTCTAGGTGAGGGCATTGGGGTCATTTGGAGCAAAAGTTTAATAAATTAAGCTCCTTCCCTTTTTCCAAATTTGTTTGATATGTAATAATATTCATTTTTAAAATTTAAAAAGTTTTGGCGAATAGAAGCATTTAATTAAAAATATAAAAAATAATAAAAAATAATGGTGTGGAAAAGAGGAGCTTAATCAGAGAAGAAGAATGGCAAAAGCGACCGCTTCTCTTTCTCTCTCTCTCTCTTTCTTTTTCTTTCTCTCTCTTGAAAGCTTATAGCTGCTGCGTTTGTTTGTTTGGTTTGAGAGAGATATTAGTGAGTGCCCAAAAACCCAAAAGAAGCCACCATTTTTATTTTATATTAGTAAACTTGTTTCGTTTGCAGAAGGGTGAAGGTGATTGCAAAAACACTCACTGCAAAGAGCAAAAAAAGAGAAAGAAAAGGAGAGAAAGAGAAAGACAGAGACGACAGAAAGAGGGACAACACAGAGTGAGTAAGAGAAAGAGAGAGAGAAAGAAAGGAATTCAAGAAGCTTTCAATACCACAGAAGAGGGAAAACGATGTCTGAGAGCTTTACATCCTTTCATACTCTGCAACTCCAAGAGGTATATATATATATATTTATATTAATATATATATATATATATAGTAGATGATGATGATGAACAAAGCTGAAAATGATAAAAGTATAGATGAAAAGAGAAAACAAAAATTAAAAAAGCACTCCACCAACAGAGAGTCCTAGTATACTAGACTATAGCTAGCTACCCATTTCATCTCTCTCTCTCTCTCTCTTTCTCTCTCTATTTTGTTTTTATTAATTCTTCTCTTATTGCTATAACTAATCAGCTTGATGGATGAGAGTACTCAAGGTACTCTCCATGATGGGTATTGTTTGTTTTTTGCTTGTCTCTGATCGATCCATGCTGAATTGAACAGTAATTGGTGTGGAAGAGAAGGAAGCGGGTTCAAAGGCAACACAAGGTGAAGGAGAGATATGATGAGGAAGAAGATCAAGAGCAGCTTGATGATATGGGCATAGCAACCGTACCGCCACTTCTTCCAACACCACCATCAATCTTCTCAAGCTCATCATCAAAAGGTCATCACCACCACTCAATTATTGATTCAGAAAGCTACTCCAATTCTCCTAATTCTATGTCCCAAGACTATCACCACCAAGGCATCTTCACCTTCTCCAATGGCTTTGAGAGATCGGCTATGACTACCCACCAAGAGCAGCAACAGCAGCAGCAACACCACTTGGCGCAACAGATCCGGAGAGAAAAGCTGAGGGTGCAAGGCTTCGAAACCCCGCCCCCTCCACCATTGGTTGGCCTAGACGAAGAAGAATCCGGAGGCCTTCCGGTGTATGAAACCGCGGGCATGTTGTCCGAGATGTTCAATTACCCTCCAGGTGGCGGCCCTGCTGGGGCCTCCGAACTGCTGGAGCATCCGATGGCTCAGGCCTATCGGATGGCTCGGCAGCAGCAGGAGCCTGTGTCTGGTGCGGCCGAGTGGTACGGAAGCAGAGTGGTGGGGGGTGGATTGGGAGCATTGGGAGATTCAAAAAATCACAATAGCCGCGACAGTATTCAGCATCATCATCAACAGCAGCATCAGATTTCAACAATTAATGCGGACTCAGCGGCAGCCATGCAGCTTTTTCTTATGAACCCATCACAACCAAGATCGCCTTCTCCTCCAGCTCACACAACTTCTTCCACCCTCCACATGTTGCTTCCAAACCCATCATCCACTACCAACTCACTCCAAGGCTTTGCTACTCCATCTGGAGGAGGAGGGGCTTTTGGTCAATTCACATGGGTTCCTGAGAGTCATCATGGACATGATGGAGGCAATCCCACCGGCGGTGCCGGTGAAATTGGAGGGGTTGTGGAAGGCCAAGGCCTTTCATTATCTCTATCAACTTCATTGCAGCACTTGGAGGCAGCCAAAGCTGAGGAATTCAGGATGGGATCAGATAGTGCAGGTGGGTTACTATATTACAACAGTCAAGGAGATCATCAAGGCTCAACCAATCAGTACAAGAATTTAGGAGCTCATCATCATCATCATCAACATCATCAAAGCCAGCAGCAGCAACAGCAGGCATTGCACAGTTTGCAGCAAGGAGGGGTTGTGGGAGGACATGTTGGGTTTGGGTCATCATCAGGATCAGCCTCATCATTTGGAGTTGTGAATGTGTTGAGGAATTCCAAGTATGTGAAGGCAGCCCAAGAACTGTTGGAAGAGTTTTGCAGTGTAGGGAGGGGTCAGCTCAAGAAGAACAAGTTTGGTGGGACTGGTGGTAGGCATAACTCCACAAACCCTAGTTCCAATCCAGCTGGCAGTGGTGGTGGTGGTGGTGCCTCTTCATCTTCATCAAAGGATGTGCCTCCTTTGTCAGCCGCTGATAGGATTGAACACCAAAGAAGGAAGGTCAAACTATTGTCCATGCTTGATGAGGCATGTAATCTCTCTCTCTCTCTCTCTCTCTCTCTCTCCTTCAAGGGTCAAAGGCCTATGTTCTTTTGCTTCTTTATTAAAGACCCCATTATTTTTATCTCCCAAGTCACCGGGACAAACACAGAAAATTCCGGCCACTCACAATGATATTTAATTTTTTTTATTTTCCAAAATTTTAAAACATAGGAAGAGCCGGCTGGTGTAATAGGGTTTTCCGTTTCATATAGGATCGAGCTGGTAGCTAGCTATCCTTTGATTTAAACACTAATTTATTAAAAATGATATTTTATTTCATTGATTGGGTTGCGATCGAATGGTGGTGGTGGTGGAGTGTTAAGCTTATAGTGCATTTTGGTTTTCATGTTTAAGGTCGGGAAAAACGTGAAAAAGCTACCACTATGTGCCCAAAAATAAGCAATCGGGCCGAGTATGACCACAGCAATCAATCAATCATTCAATCATACATTTTTATAATTAGCTTCACATATTATGTTCAGGGAAGCCATTGATATTATATCCTAGTTGACCTGTGGCCTGTTTTCTTTTTTTCCTTTCCATTTTCTCTCCCTCTTTTTGTTTTTTTGTTTATGCACACAAGCTTTTGGCTGTATTGGGTTAGAATATATATATACACATATATATATATGTATAAATAGAGATGCCATTAACAATCATTTCACTGTACCACACCCCTTTGATTTATGCATTTATTCTGTTCCCTTTTAATATCAACACAACCCTTCTCAAGTTTTTTCGAGGCTTTTAATATTCTGAAAGAAGAAGACTCTCTCTCTCTCTCTCTCTCTCTCTCTCTCTCTCTCCGTACTGGTTTTTCTTTCTCCTACCTTACGAGTCATACGACTGTAGCACTCATATTTCTTATGTTTTAATTTTCTCTTACTCAACCTTTCTTGTTTTAGTCACCTTCTGAATCTGATCGTTTTCTTTTGTTACTTGTAACTACCTTCTCTAATCCAACATGATCTGGACTTCTTATCTGCTTCTAAGGTTGCTTTAGTTATCAACATGTTGCCTTCTTTAGTCACAACTCCTTTTTTGTTAGTCGAGAGGAGGAAGAGTAATTAATTAACCATTAAAATTAATCCTCAGATTATGTCTCACGCCATACACAATTTAATCATCACATTAACGTTACTTTGCCACTAAATTTTTTATTATTAAGAGAACGTGACTAGCTATAGTAACACTAGATTTAAACATGTGGAGCTAAACTTAAACATTGCATTTAATATATGTGCATGGTTGCAGGTGGACCGTAGGTACAACCACTACTGTGAGCAAATGCAAATGGTGGTGAACGCATTCGATCTGGTGATGGGTTTCGGGGCGGCGGTGCCGTACACAGCCCTAGCTCAGAAGGCCATGTCGCGGCATTTCCGGTGCCTAAAGGATGCGATAACGGCACAGTTGAAGCACAGCTGTGAGCTACTGGGAGAAAAAGATGGTGCGGGGACCTCAGGAATAACAAAAGGAGAAACTCCAAGGTTGAAGATGCTAGAGCAAAGCCTAAGGCAGCAAAGAGCATTTCATCAAATGGGCATGATGGAACAAGAAGCTTGGAGGCCCCAACGAGGCTTGCCCGAACGCTCTGTCAACATCTTGAGGGCCTGGCTTTTTGAGCATTTTCTTCACCCGTGCGTTGCCTTTTACTACTCTCTTTTAGCTTCATGTCCTTTCATCAGTATATAATTATGAAAATGACTTTTAACTTACTAATTAGGAGAGTTTCTTTACGTATATACGAAATGTTCTCTTTCTAGACTGTCTGAGGCACAACATAAAACTCTATGCGACAATATAAGTACAGCAAGAAAGCATAACTTTGTGATTTATAAGTCTAAATAATGTTAGTCTCTCATGCATGATAGCTAAGTAGCCATGCACTTTATTACTTACTTGACGTATACTGTATACACTAGTCCCTTATGATTACTGCTTAAAAGGGTTCGTAATATGCAGTGTTCTTGGGATGTTGTGTGGTCACCCAATAGCTGTGGAAAAAGAATGCATTAATTAATTAAAGCATGATATCTCTTTTCTCCCTCTCTCTTTGAAAACACATTTTCTTGTATCAAGCCGAGAGAGAGAGAGAGAGAGATTTGTACAGTCCTAGTCTGGCAGCTCTGATAGGTAGTGATCGATCGGGATTGATATTATTTATATCTTCTCTTTGATACTCACGCTCATGCAGAGAGCAAAAGGAGAAAGTTTCTCGAACCTATGTAGGCTTAGGGGTACAGAAAGCTTAGACGTATGTCTTTATACGGTTCAGGCGAGGACTCTGATGTCATTTTCTCTTCTGGTCTCTTTCTCAGGTACCCAAGCGATGCTGATAAGCATCTGTTGGCACGACAGACTGGTCTATCGAGAAATCAGGTAATTAGGTTGCATGCATAGATTGTCTCTCTCTCTCTCTCTCTCTCTCTCTCTCTCTCTCTCATTATATTACATGTTTTTGGCTATATGCATATGTGCATTAATTTAAAAGGCTATATGTACATATAGACTGTTCTGTTGTGTTAATGAAGAAGAAAGAAGTTACGGGTAGAAAGGCTAGATGGGAGGGAAGGGACCAGCAGTAGGTTCAGAAGAACTTACATGGGCTTGGATTTTATTTCTCTGGGTTTATAAACTTTTCTGCTGAAGAAAGACAATGTGTTTTCTCTGCTCCTTTTTTTCTTCTTTTACTTTGGATTCTTTAACTCCTTGACATAAATTCTGATAACAGTGAATAGCAACCCCACACACAAAATAAAAGACCTGTGCCATGCCAAGTACATATCAGATGAGACATGATAGTTTGCAGCTTTGCTCTCTCTCTCTCTCTCTCTCTTATCAAATGACACCTTCCTTCCTACCTCACCATACAGTGAATAAGAGCCATGAGTTGAAGACATCATAAATTTTCCGTACTTCAAGTCATATCAAAAGCTATTCATATTATTAATTAATTATTATCATCCTTGTCAAAATGTCTTTACATGGTCTTCCAACTTATGTCATTAAACGTATAACCTTTGAGTTATGTTACTATCGTGTCGTTTGCATTGATTTTTGTTTTGTCAGCATACATTTCATTGTTTGCATGAGAAGTCAAAAATTAATTATTTATCTCCCTTCTATTATATATTTTATGTGCAATAAAATTTTATGGATAATGTTCTCTTGTCAAACTGTTGGACAAAAATTATATGTTGATAATTATTACGAAAATGCATATATATAATATTATTATATTTAATGACTTGGGTAGACCATGTTATAATTGTTCTGAAATTGAGAGATCAATTGCATTTATGACATTGATATCCCTATGTGATTTTTTTGATTTTGATTTTGAATGCTGCAGGTCTCAAATTGGTTCATTAATGCTAGGGTTCGATTGTGGAAACCCATGGTGGAAGAGATGTACCAGCAAGAAACCAATGAAGAAGTTGGGGGTGCAGCAGCAGCAGCAGCTGATCATCATCATCAAGATCAGAGAGAACGTAACAACCAAAACCAAAATAGTAGTGGCCTCAATGCACAAACTCCAACGCCTACAACGACAGCTGCCACAACAACAACGACAACGACGTCAACAACAACACCAACGACAACAAATTCGCCAACAGGCAAAAGATCCGAAATCAATGCCTCCGAAAACGACCCTTCACTCATCACAATCAATAGGCAGCAGCAGCAGCTGCAGCACCACTTGCAACAGCCCATGATGGCCACCACCACCGCAAGCGCGGTGGCGCTGCCTGCATCGCAATGTTTCGCCACCACATCCACCACTGCAAATGATAGGCTGGCTTCCGAGGACACACGTCGCCGAGGCAGCATGGTGGCAGCGGATTACGGGACCACCTCGGGTAATGCACATATTGCAGCTCATGATCATCAAAGTAGTAGTAATATTGGGTCTTCTACTACGCTTATAAGCTTTGGGACCACCACGGCAGCTGGTGACGTGTCACTCACTCTAGGGCTTCGCCATGCTGGTGGTGGAAACAATATGCCCGAGAAGAATCCTTCTTCTTTCTCTATTAGAGACTTCGGGGGCTGTTAATTAGCCTCTTAATTAATTAATTAATCAAACTTCTATAGTAGTTATTACAAAAAACAAAAACAAAAAAAAAAACATTTTAAATTAGTTTCTTTATCCTTTTTTCTTCTCGTTACTTATATATATATATATATCTCCTTCCATTCTATGAAGAAAGATACATGGTGAGACAAAAGTAGCATTACGTTAGCTAGTTGTATGGGGGGTTCTGTTGTAATTGTATAGTAGATGGTTCTTTTTTTTGTTGTTGGAATTTTTGTATTTTCAAATTCTATGTGCTTTAATTAGGTCTTATACCTTAATCGGAGGCATTTACTAGAATAATATATCATGAAATTCATGTTTTGAGAGAGGAGGGGAGACTGTTTTGCACTTATATTCATCTTAATTGGGTAATGAGAGAGACTTATTATATGTGATCCTATATGTTTTTATTTTAAACAATATTAATGAGAAAGCCCTACTCTCTCTCTCTCTCTCTCTCTCTCTCTCTCTCTCTCTCTCTCTCACACAC